ATTACCAACTCCAACAAACGCACCCTGAGGGCTTTCAGTATTTTTGGCGTGTGGTGAACCTGTGATTTGCCACTCCCCAGTTGGAGCTACTTTGGGGTTACTTGAATCTGCCCTCCAGAAGGGTAATGATTTACCTAGACAAGGCAGTGTAGCAGGAAGAGCTATGGCTCCTAGTTATGGCTTTGCCTTTAAGAGCTTCCACAAATTACTGAGCCTCAGTTTCCCCCGTTACATGGGGCTAGCAGACAACACCGGGAAGGTCTGTCAAGGGCACAGGTGTGGCTGCCCTTTAAAACGACAGAGACAAATGACCCTGAGAGACAAAAAGGTGCTTTCTGAATCATCAAAAACGTTGTCCTCTCAACTGCCAGCCCTAGTATCTATCACCTGGCATCCACACGTCCAGCCAAGGGGGCAATAGGACCAGGTGGCAGGGCTGACAGTTTGGAGATGGTCCTGGGAGCTGGCAAGTTGGGGTCCGGCTAAAATGCCCCTCTGGGTGGTCCTCCCCATCTCTAGCACCCCACTCCAGAGGCTCAGAGTGAGGAAACTTCTGGATCCTTGCACGTAATTTCCTCAGTAATCCCGGAGGGAGGGCCAACTTCTCCCAACTGCACCTTTAGCTGTGACTTCCCAGCTCCTCCTCTGTCCCAGGCCCCTGTTGCCTCTTCCCTTCTTAGGACCCCAAGATTCAGAGAGGGCAGTGTGTCTGCCTTGGCCACACAGCAAGGTGGGGCATGGCTCAGACTAGCTACTTTTCACTCCTCCAGCCAGCCTGCAGTTTTTCAAAATAGAAATATTTGTATTTTTTAATTTTTTCCCTCAAACTAATACAGGCTTTTATTTTTTAAAAAGCCATATATATCTGTGTGTATGTATATATATGTATATTTGTGTGTGTATGTGTGTGTACTGTGCATATGTGTATATGTAGGTATACATATCACAGAATTAAAATGTACTACAGAAAATAAGTGACCCCACTCCCTCCCCAGATAATCACTGTTTATAGTCAGGTGAGTGTCTTTTCAGACCCTCATACACATATACAAATGTACAACTTTTTTTATATGAATAAGTTCATTTTGGACACAGTATGTTCCAGGCTTAACATTAGGCAATTCTTTTTAATCCATCTGAGCTTAAGTTTCCTCCTCTGCAAAGTGGAGATAAAGGATCCAGGGGCATTGGAGGAACTATAAATAATAGTGCAGCGGCGACCTTCGTGTGCCCATCTCAGATCTCATTAGATTATCTTCCTCGAATATTTTTCCCACAGGTGGATTTGCAGGGTCTGGGGGTGGGCACTCTTGGAACCATCATGAACACCATAGGGAGAGTCTTTTTGCTCCACCCTTAAAGCCTCCTCCTGTGTCCCCGTGAGATTCCCCTCCAGCTTCAGGAAACAGCCCTGAGAAACCCTCACCCCCTCACCTTCCTGCCGGAGCCCCGTCCCTGTCCGTGCAGGCTGAGCGGACAGCATGGAAGCGCGACAGCGGGGGACTGGTCCGTGGGGCAACAGTGATGCTGTAGGCTATGACGCAGCCAATGGCTATGGTGGCCCTGGCTGCCCTCTTATCTCCTTGCAGGGTGGGAGGGGACTCTTCCCTGCTCCGCTCTCATAAGGCGGGCTTCCTCCCCTTACTCACCCTGTCCCTGGTGATTCCATTTGTTCTTATGGCCTCAGGTCCCACCTCTCTGCCCAGGGCCCCCAGTCTCTCCCAGACCTCCCTCTTGTGCTCCAGGCAGGGGATCCTCTGCTCTTTGGACATTCTGTGAACATCCCTTACATTCCTCAGACTCAACGTGCCGTAACTGGAACCCAACATCTCACACCAAACCCCAGCACTCAACCTGGCCCTCTCTCAGCCTCCCCTACTCAGCGACTAGCTCCACGCCCCAGCCAGCCAGTCACCCCAACAGGAACTCTTCCCTCCCCTCCTCCACACCCAGTCACCCACCGGAGAGATGCTGCCTCCAGGTGGTTCCAGATCATCTCACTCCGGGACAACTGTAACAACTACCAAGGGGGTCTGCCTGCTCCTTGCGCTTCTCCCCCACCTCTGCAGTTCATTTCACAAACAGCAGTCCAGTGGGAATCCCATGTGCTCACTCCTCTGCTGAAGGCCCTCTGGAGCTCCCTGTTGCCCACAGGAACCCGGCCAAGCTCCTGAGCAGGCTTCCCGAGGCCACACGTTCCTCCTGCCCCTGCTTTCTTTCTGGCTGTGCCTCTGGTCTCCCCTGCCCACCCAGCCTCCAGCCTCTTAGAAGCACACATACTGGCACTCCAGCCAGGCCAAATATTTGTTAGTTTCTCAATTGCCCTGGGCCTTTGCATGCATGTGCTTTTCTCTGTGGCTGGCTCATTCAGGGTAATGGGCACAATTAGTTAATGCTAGCTGCTGTGCCAGACAAGCCCCAAGTTCCACAAGGCTTAATGCAATGGCAGCTTAGTTTCATATTCTTGTAATCCAATGGATATTGGTGGGCTCAGATGCAGACTCAGGCTCCTCCCATCTCATGGCCCCACCCACCTCTAGATCCTTAGAGACCGCCCCATTCATCCAGCCAATGGAAAAGGAGACCATGGCCGGAGGCGATGGCTCATGCCTATAATCCTAGCACTCTGGGAGGCCGAGGTGGGCAGATTGCTCCAGGTCAGGAGTTCAAAACCAGCCTGAGCAAGACCGAGACCCTGTCTCTGCTATAAATAGAAAGAAATTAATTGGCCAACTAATATATATAGAAAAAATTAGCCGGTTATGGTGGCGTATGCCTATAGTCCCAGCCACTTGGGAGGCTGAGGCAGAAGGATTGCTTGAGCCCAGGAGTTTGAGGTTGTTGTGAGCTAAGCTGATGCCATGGCATTCACTGTAGCCTGGGCAACAAAGTGAGACTCTATCTCAAAAAAAAAAAAAAGAAAGAAAGAAAAGGAGACCACAGAGAAGGTCCGTCCATCTAACCTCATCAGCTATCATTCTGCTCATATCCCATTGGCTAAAATTCAGTCAAATGATGACACAGAACTGCAAGGGTGGGGTGGGGGGCGAGGGGTGGGAAATGTGGCCTGGCTGTGGGGCCATGAGGAAAAGGGAACTGCCTTTGGAAATTGGAGAACACACTGTAGCTTCTGCCACTGGAGCCGCCTACCCCAATCCTGAGGCCACACCGCAACCCCTTCCTGGGGCTGGATCAGGTGCTTTCTCTGTGCTCTAGCAAGCCCCAGCCAGTGTGTCCTCCTTCACAGCTCTTGGCTTCTCTGTCTCCCTGCTAAGATTGTGAACCCGAGCTCCCTGCATGGGGTACTGTGTACTCTAGTGCAGGGCACAGGGCAGGCGCTCAGTAAATACCTGTGGGACACATCAATCTAAAACTCTCGGCCGAGCGTGGTGGCTCATGCCTGTAATCCTAGCACTTTGGGAGGCTGAGGCGGGCGGATTGCTCAAGGTCAGGAGTTCGAAACCAGCCTGAGCGAGACCCCATCTCTACCAAAAATAGAAATAAATTAATTGACCAGCTAAAAATATATATACAAAAAATTAGCCGGGCATGGTGGCGCATGCCTGTAGTCCCAGCTACTCGGGAGGCTGAGGCAGTAGGATCGCTGAGCCCTGGAGATTGAGGTTGCTGTGAGCCAGGCTGACGCCACGGCACTCACTCTAGCCTGGGCAACAAAGTGAGAGTCTGTCTCAAAAAAATAAATAAATAAATAAATAAAAATAAAACTCTCATGGTCTCAAAAAGATGTTCATGATTTATTGATAGGTGAGAAAAAAGCAAGTTAAAATATGTTCCCCAAAGAGACCCCTGCCATCACCCATAGAATCTATAGACAGAAAACATATAAGGAGTCTTGGGCCAAATTTTTTTTTAATTTATTTTTTATTTTTTAAATTTTTGTCTGAACATAATAAAGGCCATAAGACCAAAACCTTAATGATGGTGACCTCTGGGATTGGGATTATTTTATTTATTTATTTAAAAAACATTTTAATATAGAAATAGGTCTACAGCCAATCTTGTCTGATCTAGAAAGATAAGCAGGGTCGGACCTGGTTAGTACTTGGATGGGAATCAGCTCTTGCTCAGGCTGATCTCGAACTCCTGATCTTAAGGGATCCTCCCGCCTTGGCCTCCCAGAATGTTAGGATTATAGGCATGAGCCACCACACCGAACCTGGGACTGGGCTCTTAAATTGTCTTCCTTATACTCTTCTGTATTGTCTGAGATTCCCTCGCTCCCCTCCAGTGAGCACGTACTGCTTTTATCATTGAAAAAAATTTTTTTTGGTTGAGGGAGAACCAACCAAAGATAGTGTCACAGATACTCTGGGAAGAGTCCCCTCTGGCGGAGCTGGAGGCACAAGTCCTGCTCTAGAAATCTTTGCTGTACGTGGCTTGTTACTCTGCCCATGGTCGTCACCTTTTGCCCAAGAACTTGATGAGGTTCTCACCCCTCCACTATAAACTTCAGGAGCTAACAGGGGACACTCCCCAGCAAGGATTAGGAGGGCACATGATGCATGAGAAGTCCCGAGCACAGGACCAGACCCTGTTTGGTTCAGAGTCCATGCTCATAAACACAGCACCTGCTGTTTGATGCCGGTGCTGCCCTGATTCGCCCCTATAAAGTTGCCATCAAGCTAACTCAGCCCAGAAGGCAGAAAGGCCGTTAGGATGTCACAACAGTCAAAACAACTCCATGCAACGTCAAAACAACAGTCAAAACAACTCCGTGCAACGTCCGGATTCTAGCTTTTGGCACTCAGAGAGACGTGGACTCTGGAACTCCCCTGGGGCAGTTTAAGCTCTGGCGTTTCCTGGGTGCTTGGGGGCTGCTCTCAGGCTGGGCAGGGCTTTGGAAGAAAGGGGGGCTCAGAGCACATGCCAGGTGCCTGCTGTTCCCTGGGAGGGTCTGGTGGCTGCTTACCCTATGAAAGTGCTCAGTGTGGGGTGAATGTCACACTAATGATTATTATTGATGGTGACACTTGGGTCCCTAGAGTCTCCTGTGTAGTCCAGGATGGGGCTCCACATCAGCGCTGAAGGCGGGTGGAGGAGGCCTTTCTGGACACATGTGGATCCCTCTGTCCACAGACAAAGCTGAGAAAGCCCAAGAGTCCCGTGCCTGGGCTGAGCCTGAAGGTCCCTGGGGTTTAGGGCCAGGGCACCTAGAAGTGCCTTCTCCTGCCAAAGCCTCGGGAAGAATCAGCTCAAATCCCGCCAAGCTGGTCTGGAGTGTCTACGTGTCACTGTTTCTCACTCAGGGCTGGAGGCAGGACAGACAGGGGCTGCCCGGCATGGTGCTGTATCTTCTTCGATGAAGCACTTAGAGCCCAGGGAGTGAAATGTCACTAGACTCATCTTCCCAGTCCTAGCCAGGTGCTCTGCAGCCTGGAAACCTTCCGGGCTGAGCTGTTGCTCACTCCTCTGGGCTCCCACAGATGTCGGGTAAACCTCGGTCCCTGCTTTGATCCCAACATCTTTAAATCCTGGCATTTGGCAAATCTGTGTTTGGATTCTGGCTTTGTCTGCTGTCTGCTAGCTGTGTGACCTTGGACAAGTGACTTCACCTCCCTCAGCCTTGGCTTCCTCACCTGGAGAGTGGGGTAACAGTGATGCTTGACTTAAATGAGATGTGGTAGGTGGAACTATTAGCCTCCTCACCCCTGGTTCCTGCCCCTCACGTGGCCTTAGAGTCTGTTCTCACTGCAGGGCTCTGCGGTTGCTATGTCCTTGGCCCAAGGACACTTGGAACCTGGCTGAGCCCTTGGATGAAAGAGCTGCCTGGCTGTTGGGGTCCAGAGGGGCAGAGATCGCCCAGGGCTGTCCAGCGAGGGCAGAGGGCCAGGCACCACCTGCAGGGTGCTGGGGTGAGCCACCTGCTATCCCCAGGGAGGGAACTCATGAATATTCAAACCAACCGAGGTGGGAGGGAGCCAGCCAGCCCGCTGCTGGGTGTCATTGGAGCATTCCTGTCTCCCAGTGACCGCAGAGGCAGCCGGGGAGTCAGACGTGGCTCTGGCAGAGAGAGGAAAGGGGTGGCCAGCCACAGCCCGAGGTGAGTGTGTCTCCTCTGTGCCCTGCACGGGGTCCCTGGGAGAGTCGGACGTCCTGGGACTGAGGCCCGCCCGGTGTCGGCCCTCTAGGCCAGAGGCTTCTCATCCTGGGCTCAGTTTCCCTGTGTGCACGATGTGGGGGGCGAGTCCTATTTCTGCTTTGCTCCCAGGATGGCATCATTTCAGCCGAGCAGGGGGATGGGTGGGCCTGGCCTGCTGCCAGCTGTCTGCACGACGGAGGCAATGTGGCTGGATAATCCAGAGGGGCAGGAATAGGTGGGGTGGGCTGGCAAGGAAGGATCATCTGTCCTTAGTGCCTGCCATTGTCACTACCGTGGGCAGAGGAGGCAGTGCCTGCCATTGTCACTACTGTGGGCAGAGACCAGGTTGTAGTCCTGTCTCGGATTGTTGTGCTGTGTGACATCAAGGGCGCCCTTGCCTTCTCGGAGGCTCAGCCTCCCTGCCTTTCTGTCTTCCAGCCTGGAGGCTGTGAGACAGAGGCTACCCTGAGACTGTCCTTGCATCTCTGGCTGCCAGGTGCCTGCAAGCCTCCATCCTGGGCCAGCAGGCACACACCTTGATGGGGCCACGGCTGGGAACCTGGGAGCATCATAATGATGGTGATAATGGCAATGGTGGCAGACCATGCTCAGTGAGTGTCAGCTCTGTGCTAGCCCTGGGCTGGGCACTTCCCTCCCAGAAAGCGGAGGATTCTCATAGCGCCCTGCAATGTGGGGACAGTCGGTTAAAGGTTGAGAATCTCTTATATAAAATGCCTAAGATCGAGAAGTTTCAGACACATAGCCTGAAGGTAGTTTTATTTTTCCCTTAGGGATGCTGAATAAACTGCATATTATGAGCCTATGTAGTTCAGTTTTGTTTTATTTTGTTTTGTTGAGATAAAATTTCGCTCTGTCAGACCGGGTAGAATGCAGTGGTGTCGTCATAGCTCTTTGCAGCCTCAAATTCCTGGGCTGAAGCAATCCTCCTGCCTCAGCCTCCCTAGTAGCTGGGATAACAGTTGTGTGCCACCATGCCCAGCTTATTTTTCTATTTTTTCATAGAGATGGGGTCTCACTCTTGCTCAGGCTGATCTCCAACTCATGAGCTCAAGCGATCCTCCTGCTCCAGCCTCCCAGAGCCACGGCTGCCCGGCCTCTTATATTCTTTTTAATACCTGTAGGATCTTTAGTGATATGCTCATATTCTTCCCTAACGTTGGTGACTTGTGAAGTATTTCTCCCCACCACCACCCCGCCACCTTCATCAGTCTTGCTAGAAGTTTATTCATTTTTGTCATTTTTTTTAAAAAATGACATGTTTTACCTTTTATTGTTTTCTCTATTATACTTTTTTTATAATTCATTAATGTCTGCTTAACTGTATTACTGTGTTTCCCCAAAAATAAGACAGGGTCTTATGTTTATTTTTCCTCAAGAAGACACCCGAGGGCTTATTTTCAGGGGATGTGTTATTTTCCCCTCAAAGCCTCAGCTTGCAGCCCGTACGGCATGGCCGGGACCTGACGGGGGGCCGACCTTGTTGGTGGGGCTGCCCGCACCTTTCCGGTCACCTCTGGGATGGCAGCTGTCATGATGGGGCAGATGAGAAGGGCTGCTCATCTTCTTTACCACTCCACAACGAAATGCATGGGTTGTGCAGATGCGCTGCGTAGCCACGTCCATCACTAGGTCTTATTTTCAGGGTAGGGCTTCTATTGTACAAATGCTTAGAAATCCTGCTAGGGCTTATTTTATGGGTAGGTCTTATTTTCGGGGAAACTCGATACTTCTTTCTACTTTCTTTGGACTTAATATGCTGTTCTCTTCTAAATTCTTGAGACTACTTAGATCGTTTGTTTTTTCAGCCTTTTCTAATATATGTATTAAGGATATACATTTTTTTTTCTAAACACAAGTTTACCTGTATCTTCTATTTTGTGCTGTCATATTTTCAATATTACTCACTTCAGAATACTTTTAAAGTACATTATGGGCCGGGTGCGATGGCTCACACCTGTAATCCTAGCACCCTGGGAGGCCAAGAAGGGAGGATTGTTTGAGCTCAGGAGTTCAAAACCAGCCTGAGCAAGAGTGAGACCCCTGTCTCTACTGTAAATAGAAAGAGATTAATTGGCAAACTAAAAATATATAGAAAAAATTAGCCGGGCATGGTGGCACATGCCTGTAGTCCCAGCTACTCTGGAGGCCGAGGCAGGAGGATTGCTTGAGCCCAGGAGTTTGAGGTTGCTGTGAGCTAGGCTGATGCCACAGCATTCTAGCTTGGGCAACAGAGTGAGACTCTCACACACACACACACAAAAATACATTATGACTGACTTTCTTTCTTTCTTTCTTTCTTTCTTTCTTTCTTTCTTTCTTTCTTTCTTTCTTTCTTTCTTTCTTTCTTCTTTCTTTCTTTCTTTTTTTTTGGACAGAGTCTTGCTCTGTCACCCTGGGTAGAATGCAGTGGAGTCAGCATAGCTCACAGCAACCTCATACTCCTGGGCTCAAGTGATCCTCCTGTCTCAGCCTCCCAGGAAGCTGGGACTACAGGTACCTGCCACCAGGCCTGGCTAGTTTTTTTTATCTTTAGTAGAGACAGGGTCTCACTCTTGCTCAGGCTGATCTCAAACTCCAGACCTCAAGCAATCCTCCTGCCTTGGCATCCCAGAGTGCTAGGATTATAAATGTGAGCCATGGTGTCCGGCCATGACTGCCACCCATCACATAAGGTCAGATGTGGAATTTTCCACGTGTGTCATGTCGGCACTCAAAAAGTTTCTGATTCTGGAGCATTTCGGATTTCAGATTTTTGGATTAGGGATACTCAACCTATATCATCATTTTGGAGGAGAAATCAAGACTCAGAGAGGGGCACAGTTTTGCCTAGGACACACAGCAAGGAAACTATTGAAAACCAGGACCCCTGGTCCCAAGGTGCTGGCTTCTTGTGGCCTTCACATGTGTGATACACATGTGCTCTTGCACATGTATGTCTGTCACGTGACTTCCATATTTTACACTTTTACTCATGGGGGCTTTTATATACATGTAGCTCACAGGGATAACCCTGGCCTATAGGTCTCACACAGGGGCTGTCTCCTATGTGGCTGTCAGCGCAGTATTGTCTGCCTGGACCTTTGTCCCCATCCATACTCTCTGCCCAGGCCCCATAGTCCTGGCCATGTTCTACTTTGAGATTCATGGGGGGTTGTTCATCAAACATTCACCAGGTGCCAGGCACAAAGAGCTCAGGCATGAGTCACCATCAGGCTGTCGTGCAGCTGAGCACAGAGGAGACCTCTCCTCCGGCATGCCTGTGCGCCAGGGCCGGGCGTGGTCAGTAGTGAGGATAAAAATTCATACGTATTAGTCGCTTCCAGGGCACGTGCATTCTCTCATGAGGATCTCACGGCCTCCTGACTATTTTCCCTCAAGCCAGGCTCCTGGCTGCCAGCCAGCCTCAGTCTACCCCTGCCTCAGTCTACCCAGGGGCTCTGCCTGTGACCACAAAGGGCCCTGTCTGCCTTGATCCCACTGTTGTATACCCATTGTACACATGAGGAAACTGAGGCTCAGAGAGGGTGAGCTTCATACCCAAGTTCAGAGAAGCCAGACCCTGTCCCACTCCTGGGACAGAGCTCCCCGGCCACACCTCCTCCTTCTGTGCTTGAACTTTCTCTGTGCACCCTTTCCCTCCTTCCATCCTGTGGGCTTGGGGCTGGGCATGGGACACTCCAGGCAGGGGCCCCGTGGACGAGGCAAGAAGTGCACTGGAGGTCGGAAGACCCAGGCTCCAATTCCTGCTCTGCCCCTGCCTTGCTGAGTTGACCCTAGGCAAGTCATGGCACCTCCTGGAGCTTCGGTTTCCCCTAACTGCAAAATGGGGGTGACAGTGGGGTGGGATGGTATCTGCTCAGTGTCGCTGAGTGGAGCCAGTTACATGCTCTGGAGAAGCCCCCTTTCAGGGCCTGCTTGGCTCATAGCAGGGGCTCAAAAATGAAACCAGAGGGTGGGATGGCCCAAGATTGAGCAGCTGGTGGGGGGCAGCACACAGCAGGAGTCTGGCAAGGTGTGAAGAGGCCCAAATGGGAGAACAGGCAGCGAGTGAGTGATGAGGGGGTGGGGTGTGTCCTGGGCGGGGCCAGGGGGAGCCTGCTTGGTGCCTCCAGGATGCTGGTCTGCCCCCTACTGCCCGGCCTGGGGACCCCAGAACTTCCACCACTGCAGCCTCCCAGAGTTCTGGAAACTACCCTGGTGAGTGGGGCTGCGGGGCAGGGGCGGGCCCTTGGGATTTGCAGAGGGCCAGATTTTAAAGTCAGAGAAACTGAAGCCCAGGGTCACTCTGGGTTCGGAGCCTACCCTGGGTCTCTGTCCTGTTTTCTGCTGGGTCCCTGTAAACAGGAGGCTGACAAGGTCCCTTGAGGCTGGGGTAGGTTTGTGCTGGGGGGGGGGGGACAGAGGCCACACCTTGTTCAGGGCCAGGGGGACAGGCCCCCCAGGGGCTCAGGAAGGATACAGTAGAGAAAACGATGTGCTGGTGGCTTTGCCCGACTGCTCCATCTCAGGAAAGTTCCTGAGAGCCCAGCTAGAGGGGTGACCAGCTTCCCCATTTTACAGATGAGAAATGGAGACTCCACAGGGCGTGACTGAAGTCACCACACTGGACAGAAACACAGGCCTGGGGGCTCTGCAGCCTGAGGTCTCATCCCCTCCTGGGGACCCTCGAAGCCCAAACACGCTGGCCCATTTACCCAACCTCGCAAGCTTTGCGATTTGCTATTTAAATGTGTTAAACACAATTTATTGCCTTTCTTTTTTAGAGCTTCTCATGGGGCTGGTTGATATTGCCCTTTTTTTTTTTTTTTTCTGATTAAACATCAATACATACTCCTTTAAAAATGCAACCGTTACAGAAATGCATAATTAAGAGACACAGTCCCTTAAATCTCTTCCTGAGCTGTGCAGGGGATACCACTGTTAAAATTTAGAATACTGCCCTCCACTGGCTCTTTTCAAGGCCTGCACGTATATTTTCCTGTATACATATATGGATTGAGGGTGGGGGTGGGGTGCATCTTGTTCTAGAACTTTCTTTTTTCACACAAATAGATCATAGTGTGTTTTCACCTTTGCCTTGTTTTTTTTTGTTTGTTTTTAACATCTACAGATGACACCTTCAGGGAATGGGTGTTCTTTTTTTTTTTTTTTTTTTTTGAGACAGAGTCTTACTCTGTTGCCTGGGCTAGAGTGCTGGGATGTCAGCCTCACTCACAGCAACCTCAAACTCCTGGGCTTAAGTGATCCTCCTGTCTTAGCCTCCTGAGTAGCTGGGACTATAGGCACATGCCACAGGGCCTGGTGAATTTTTCTATTTTTATTAGAGATGGGGTCTTGCTCTTACTCAGGCTGGTCTTGAACTCCTGAGTTCAAGCGATCCTCCCACTGCAGCCTCCCAGGGTGCTGGGATTACAGGCGTGAGTGAGCCACCATGCCCGGCCTCAAAGTCCTCTTATATATTTTTTTCCTCTGCAGTTTTTGTCTTCATGTCCTTTGCTGTGAGGAGAAATTTCTAGATCATGAGCAGAGAACTCAGACATTAGTGCCAGCTGGTTGGGTGGGCCTGGAGTACCCCTTCTCTGGGAAGAAGTTTGTGGGTGCCTTGGGGAACTTTTCCAAGGTGCAGTGTGTGGGACCTTCCCCCAAGCGGGCTGTGTGGCTTCTGCCCCCAGGGACAGTGATGATGTGCCAGCTTGCAGTCATGGGGCAGCACGTGTGACTTCCTGTGGCCTCAGGGGCCCAGGACCCAGTGCAGCATGAGCCAGGACTAGAGTGGAAAGGTTGGGGCCCTGGCTTTGCAGCTAAGGGGGTTAAGGCCCCCCCAAGCCCCAGGCCTCTCCTGAACTCCAGTTCCTCAGCCTGAACTGCCCTGTTACAGCCCATGTCTCAGTGCCCTGCCGATAGGCTGTCACCCTCGGACCACTCCTCCCCCGCAACAAACAAACAACAACAAAAACCAGAGGACGCCCAGTTAAAATTGAAGATTAAATAATTTTTTGTATAACTATGTCCCATGCAATATTTGGGGCATACTTATACTAAAAAAATTCCATTCATGGTTTATTTGAAATTCAAATTTAAGTAGGCAAGCCTGCCTGTTGGCAATGGGAGAGGCCTTGGATCTGTGCACAGAGGCCTGGTCTGCTGGGTGACCTGGGCCTGCTTCCATCTCTGAGCCTCAGTTTCTCCGTCTGCTGCCCCTACAAAGCCCAGGGGCACGAGGGCCACAGAGGAGAAATAAGGAGCCTCCCAGGAGAACGGTGCCGACTCAGAGGCTGAGAAAAATGAAAAGAAAAAAAAAAAAAAAATAAGGAGCCTCAACCCACCCGGTCCACCGTGGGAGGGGCAGCACAGGGGCAGGTGCAGCTGGCTGGGCCTTTTTTTTCTTTTTTTTTTTGAGACAGTCTCACTCTGTTGTCTGGGCTCCAATGCTGTGGCCTCAGCCCAACTCACAGCAACCTCAAACTCCTGGGCTCAAGCAATCCTTCTGCCTCAGCCTCCTGAGTAGTAGCTGGACTACAGGCATGTCCCACCATGCCCGGCTCATTTTTTCTATATATTTTTAATTTGCCAATTAATTTCTTTCTATTATTTAGTAGAGACAGGGTCTCCTCTTGCTCAGGCTGGTTTCGAACTCCTGACCTTGAGTGATCCACCCGCCTCCGCCTCCCAGAGTGCTAGGATTACAGGCCTGAGCCACTGCGCCTGGCCTGGCTAGGACTTCTGAAAGGTGACAGATCCAGGCCCCAGAGAGCCCAGGCCTGGGAGCACAGAGCACTGGAACAGGGTCTTCTTTTCCTTCTTACTTAGAAAAGTATTTCATAGGAAGCCCCCAAAAGGGTATAAGAACTAAGGTAATGAACACTCTTGTACTCACTTAGCTTAAAAGTTAAAATAGAACCTGGCAGAACCTTCTCCCTGCCCCATCCCCCAGCCTCTCTTTGAATTGCGTCACCTACAGTCTCTGTGTGCATCCCTGTCGCTTTCTCTGTGATTGTCTGTCTCCAGTGTCTCTGTCTCTGTCTGGACCCTTGGAGGGGTGGGGCACAGAGATGACCAACCCAGGTCCCAGCTTCCAGGCCTGGGGCAGCCATAGGGGCTCCCTGGGGGGGGGGGGGGGTGCTCGCTGGGGCCGAGCTCCTGACTATCCCCGCTCTATGCTGCCCCCTGCAGGTGCCTGAGATGCTGCCGCCCCCGCAGAAGAGGCGCTGGGAGTCCATGGCCAAGGGGCTGGTGCTGGGCGCTCTCTTCACCAGCTTCCTGCTGCTGCTGTACTCCTACGCTGTGCCCCCGCTGCACCCCAGCATGGCCTCCACGTGAGTGGCCCGGCTGGGCGGTTGAGGGTGGGTCGGGCATTTACTGGAGCACCTGCCCCAGTGATCCTGGGCAGCCACCCTGCACCATGCTATGCCACACAGAAATTCCACGAAGGGCAGAACTCACTGCGTAGCCGTAGGCCTCAGTGTTCTCATCTGTCAATTGGGAATAATAACAGAGCCTTCCTCCTGGATCGTGAGAATCAAGCATCACCATGTGTGTATGGGATTGCCACCATCTAAGACACCAACGGGGCCACTCTAGGGGGTGACTTGTCCAAGAGCACCCAGCTGGCACAGGGCCGGGATTCAGACTGGCTCCTGCCTCCAGACTATCCGACCTTGTCATGGGACCGCTCAGTGTAGACCTGGTACAGCCTGTGCCCTTAGTTGGTGGTACTAGTTGAACTAGAGAAAATTGCTGATAACTGACCATTTCTGGCCTACCAAATGGCAATTTCATGTGGTCCAACCTAATACTAATTCATGATAAACATATGAGGCGGTGGCCATGAATGAGGCCTGCGTGCCTTGTCACTTTGAGCTCACACCAATACCACCAAAAGGTCCTGTTATTTTCCCCATCTCAAGATGAGGAAACCAAGACCAGAGAGCCCAAACCACTGGCCCAGGCGTTCCCAGCTCCCTGCCACCAATGTCCCCAACAACCCTGTTCTCTAGGTACCAGGCCCGGGGGTGCTGAGTCCTGAGGGCCCCAGCACCCCCTGAGGCTCTCCCCGTCGCTGTGTCCCCAGCAGGACCCCGGAGTCCGCAGCGCCCTGCTCTCCTGCTCCGGGTGAGCCCGAGGCGGTGACTCCCGCCAACGGCTCCGCGGGAGGATGCCAGCCGCGCCGCGACATCGTGTTCCTGAAGACGCACAAGACGGCCAGCAGCACGCTGCTCAACATCCTGTTCCGCTTCGGCCAGAAGCACCGGCTCAAGTTCGCCTTCCCCAACGGGCGCAACGACTTCGACTACCCGGCCTTCTTCGCCCGCAGCCTGGTGCGGGACTACCGGCCCGGCGCCTGCTTCAACGTGGTGGGCAACCACATGCGCTTCCACTACGACGAGGTGCGCGGCCTGGTGCCGCCCAACGCCACCTTCATCACCGTGCTGCGCGACCCCGCGCGCCTCTTCGAGTCCTCCTTCCACTACTTCGGGTCGGTGGTGCCCCTCACGTGGAAGCTGTCGGGCCGCGACAAGCTGGCCGAGTTCCTGCGGGACCCCGCTCGCTACTACGACGCGGGCGGCTACAACGCGCACTACCTCCGCAACCTGCTCTTCTTCGACCTGGGCTACGACAGCGGCCTGGACCCCGGCAGCCCGCGGGTGCGGGAGCACATCCTGGAGGTGGAGCGCCGCTTCCACCTGGTGCTCCTGCAGGAGTACTTCGACGAGTCGCTGGTGCTGCTCAAGGACCTGCTGTGCTGGGAGCTGGAGGACGTGCTCTACTTCAAGCTCAACGCCCGGCGCGACTCGCCGGTGCCGCGCCTCTCGGGGGACCTGTACCGGCGCGCCACGGCCTGGAACATGCTGGACGCGCTCCTCTACCGCCACTTCAACGCCAGCTTCTGGCGCAAGGTGGAGGCCTTCGGGCGGGAGCGCATGGCCCGCGAGGTGGCCGCGCTGCGCCAAGCCAACGAGCGCATGCGGCGCATCTGCATCGACGGCGGCCGGGCCGTGGACGCCGCCGCCATCCAGGACTCGGCCATGCAGCCCTGGCAGCCGCTGGGCATCAAGTCCATCCTGGGCTACAACCTCAAGAAGAGCATCGGGCAGCGGCACGCGCAGCTGTGCCGGCGCATGCTCACGCCCGAGATCCAGTACCTGGTGGACCTCGGGGCCAACCTGTGGGTCACCAAGCTCTGGAAGCTCATCCGGGATTTTCTGCACTGGTGACATCCCTGCGGTCCAGGTGCCCGCTCGCCACTCCCCGGGGAGGGGCTGAGCAGGGCCCCTCTGGTGCTGGCCTCCCTCTGCCCCTCCTGGTGCCACCTCGGACCCCCGGGGTGAGGCGGGGCTAGCAGGGGGACGCAGCCAGCCAGGACTAGGCCCACAGCACACAGAGAGGGCCTAACCGAGATCAGTATTTGACTAATTATACCTTTTTTTTATTAAACCCCCTTCCCTCCAAAAAGAGAATGTTCTATTTCCTGCCTCCCCTTAAAGGAGAGACCTCAGAAGTAAAGGAATTTCATGTTGTGTTTTTGTTAATCAGCCTCAGCGGTGGTGACTGCAGGGGCCCCGGGGTGGGGTGGGGTCCCCAAGAGAGCACAGCGGTGCCCGCGTGAGTGTCTGTGGGCAGAGCCCAGTGGGACGAGGCGATCTGGCGCGTGTGTCTGCCACATGCCGAAGCCCCGTGTGGTTCAGGTGCCCCCATGAGCTAAAGGGCAAAAGGCGCATGTGTGTGCGCATGCGTGCACGTGTATGTGTGTGCGATCACCCTAATGACTACCCCGGTAGTCCGTGTTGAGCACTGGTTGTGAGCAGGGCACTAGGTAAGTGCTTCGTGGGTGTTACCGCATCTTCACCACAACGCAGCCACGTGGGAACTATTGATGTCTCATGCTAGAGAGGAGGAAGGGAGCTCAGAGAGGGGAAGACACTTGGCCAAGATCACAGAGGAAGAAAGTGAGAGGACTGGCGCAGGGGCGGGGGTGGGTGGACGGTGCGGCCAGCTAGGACAGTCAGAGGGAGAGCAAGCAAGAGGTGGGGACCCTCAGTGGAGCCCAGGCTAAGGGCTTCTTGTGAGATCCCATCAATCCTCACAATAACCCTTTGAGGCAGGCACGATTATCATCTCGTATTACAGATGTGGGAACTGACATTCCGAGAGGGAAGGGACATGCTTGAGGTCATGTTACAGGATGTATCAGACCCAGGACTCAAACCAGGGACCCCAAATTCTTTCCAAGTCCAGTGCCTGCAGCCCAGTCCCTGCTGGAACCTCTGCCGGCCCCCAGCTGCCCCAGTTCTACTGCCCCTCCCCCAAGGCTGTGTCACACAGTTGCTTGTGTACCGACCCCACTCAAGCAGCCCTGGGCTTCCCCCCTCCACCTGGGATTCCATTTAACTAATCCAAAAAACATTTAGTATCCACCAAATCCCTGTTATGTCCCCAGCCCGGAGCTGTCCCCTGCATACAGCAGTCTAGTTGGCCTTGTGCTCCTGGGACTCATGTCCAGAGGGAAGGTGGCCACTGAACAACTAGGACAGACCAGGTGTGGCCGACCCGGGTGGGGATGTGCCCGGGGGTACAGGGGCCCTTTCTGGGACACAGGACTTCCAGGCTTCCAACTAGGCGCTGACATGCAGGCCCATAGCAGAAACCACAACCAAGTGACTCTTTATCTTTATTCGAGACCTATTTGTGCCAGGCTCCAGGCCCGGTGCTTGCACACCTTGTCCAAATATCTACAACCTACTAGAACAAAGGTCAGAGAGGCGAAGTGACCTACCCAAAGTCACACAGCTAATAATTGCCAGAACCAGAATTCAAACCCATAATCTTAACCCCTCCCTGGGTTAAGGTTAATGGTGCCCCCCACGACCCCGGGAATGAGCTTCCAGCCCAAGCAGGGTGTGGAGGAGTTAGCCTGACTAACTGTTCCAGTTTTTTCAGACTGTCCTGGCTTTAGCATTGAAAGTCCCACATCCCAGGCAGTCGAGGCAACCAAAACAGTTGGTCACCCTAAGAGAGGTTTGACCCCACAACACCTTGTAGCCACTGTCTCGACCTTCATACTGGGTTTTTTGTGTGTGTGTGGCAAGAAACAATGTTCTTTGCAGCATACCCTTGAAGTCTTTATTTAATTCATAAGCAGAGAATTAAGCAAAATAAAACAAAAAACTGACAATTGCTAAGATTATTCATGGGAAAAGATGGCACTGACCCCAAATTCATGAGATAATTTCCCCCCACTTTTATTTAGCAAAGATAGATGTATGCTTGCCTATTGGAATAAAACAAGATAGATGTTTAATTTAATGTATAATATGATAATATCCTGAGTTTAAGGAATCCCATAGTAATTATATCTCCTTGGAACCCAAGGGCCTAGGAATGCCTATTATGATTATATATGTATAAATAATATAATAATATTATATTTTATTACATTATTATGATTATTGTTTTTGTTTTTGTTTTTGTTTTGAGACAGAGTCTCGCTTTGTTGCCCAGGCTAGAGTGAGTGCCGTGGCGTCAGCCTAGCTCACAGCAACCTCAAACTCCTGGGCTCAAGCGATCCTCCTGCCTCAGCCTCCCGAGTAGCTGGGACTACAGGCATGCGCCACCATGCCCAGCTAATTTTTTCTAAATATATTAGTTGACTAATTAATTTCTTTCTATTTATAGTAGAGACGGTGTCTCGCTCTTGCTCAGGCTGATTTCAAACTCCTGACCTCGAGCGATCCTCCCGCCTCGGCCTCCCAGAGTGCTAGGATTACAGGCGTGAGCCACCGCGCCCGGCCTGATTATTGTTATTGACATTGCCCTCCAAGAAGAACAAATCTGGCAGACAGTAGATGCCAGGAATGTAAATTACTATCTACCTGGTTTATGCTAAGAGCATTAAAGTTATTAACTCATCTATTAATATGATTAATATTTTAATAAGTAGTTGCCAGGCACTGAGCTCTGTGTCCAGCCCTGTGTCATGTGGACACACAGGTGATCCCTCTTGCTCCCCCGAGGAGGTGTTTGAGACTTAGAGGCTGAGCAACCAGCCCAGGGTCACAGAGTCAGACAGCCACAGAGGCAGGGTGAAAACCCAGGTAGATCCAATGCCAAGGCCAGGGCTCCAGGGCTCCAGACTCTCAAGGGCACCGTTCAGGTGGGCTGCCCCAGCCTCAGGACTGAAGTCCCTTCTGCAGCTAGCTCAAACTGCGGAGTCTCCAAGGGGCTTTGGTGCTTGTTGCCTGCGGGGGCCAGACTGCGCTTGGGGCACCTGGGCAGCAGAGGGCGCCACGATGCCAAGTTTGGTCTAGTCTAGCCCTGGCATTCCTGGCTGGATCAGGGCTGGAGGCCACAGGAAACTAATACACTGGCCATGCCCTGCGCCTGGCCTGGGTCCGGCTTCTGCCCCTCACTGGGACCCCGCCTGGCCTCCCTCCCCCAGACTCACCCATATGAGCGGTCCTCCACCTGCAGCCCGAGGTCTCTGTGGTCCCCACCGCCTTGCAGAGAAGCTAGCTCTTGCCTCTGTGGCTTCACACAGGCTGTTCCGTCTACTGTGAGGCCCCTTCCCTTGCAGGCCTAACATAGCTGCGTGTTTTCAAAACAAGCCCCCCACCTCCTCCTGGCACCCTTCCCTGACACCCAGCCCCTGGGCTGGTCTAAGTCCTTTGGGCTCCCACGGGTGCCTTTCTGCCCCCATCCTGGCTCCTCTCACCAGGATGCAACTGTCGCTTTGCTAGTCTCTCAATTCGCCGGCAGTGGGCTCCTCCAGGGAGGGACAGGGTCTCATGGGCGCCATTGGCCTCCAGTGGGAGGCCAGGGCCTGGCACACAGTGTGTTCTTAGTAAATGGTAAAAGACAGGAAAGAAAGATAGGAAATAGGAAGGAAGAAGGAAAACAGAAGGAAAGAAAGAAGGGAGGGAGGGAAGGAAGAAGCTAGAGGAGGAAGAGAGGGAGATATTTCCACCCTTGAGGTCCTCCCAGAGCACACTTGGAACTGACCAGGCCCCATAGCCCTGGGAAGGGCAACACATCCAAGGCACGCATGTGCAGGAATGAGTTCATTGTGTGAAAACTCGTGTGACACTGGGACGGGACACAGGTCAGTGGGTTGTGACAGGGATGGGTAGAGGGAGGGCGTCTGGGAGATGCTTGAGCTGGAGAGTGGGCAGGCCCAGGGCAGGCTAGGCACAGCCCAGGGCACCAGGGAGAGGTGGGGAAGCCACAAAAGGAGAGGTGGCCCTGCCCAGCCCTCCTTGCCTGCCTATCCTTGGTAAGGTCTCCTGGAGCACCTACTGGGCGCAATGCCCCGTGGTGGGTGCTGGGGTGGGCGTGCACCATGATGAACCAGACCGTTAAGGGGGAGACCCGTGACACGATCACAATAGCTGGGCAGATGGGAGTCAACAGTGGGGTGTGCCATTCCAGAGGGGTAGGGATGCACTTCCCAGCAAATAAAGGAAATCAGAAAGGAACCTGCAGAAGTCTTGGCTTTTGAATCAGGCCTTGAGGGAGGCAAGGACTGGAATGCAGGGGGGTCCCAGAAAGGCATTCCAGAGAGAGGGAAGAGCAGAAGAAAAAGCTGGAAAGGCAATGGAGAAGAGGCAAGGGATGAGGGAGGAGAACAGGAGACATGAGCTCAGGAAGGACGAGAAGGCCCTCACAGTCCAGGCTAAGGCATTTGTAGTTTCTCCTGAGTGTAGCAAGGAGCCAAGGGAGGCTTTGGAGCAGAGAAGGGACATACTCAGAAGCCACCTTTAAGATGGGCCAGAGGTGCTGGGGGCAGGGATCCATGGGGAGGGGCTGAGAGCCAGCACCGGGGCAGGAGCAAGGGAGAGTTCCCCAGTTTGCCCCTTTTGGCTAAAGCTCCAGCTTGTGGGTGTGGGGAGTGCTGGGGGGGTTTCTTTGTTGGTTTCTTTTGTTTTGTTTTATTTTGTTTTGTTTTGAGACAGAATCTCACTCTGTTGCCCACGCTAGAGTGCAGTGGCATCATCATAGCTCACTGCAGCCTCCAAATCCTGGGCTCAAGCGATCCTCTTTCCTTACCCTCCTGAGTAGCAGGGACTACAAAAAACCAACAAAGAAACCAGTATAGAGTGTATGAGCTCAATTGTGTTAAAAGAAATTATATGTCTTTGTGCTTTTCTTTTTCTTTCTTTTTTTTTTTTTTTTTTTTTTTGCGAGACAGAGTCTCGCTTTGTTTCCAGGCTAGAGTGAGTGCGCCGTGGCGCGTCAGCCTAGCTCACAGCAACCTCAAATCCTGGCCTGAAACGATCCTCCTGCCTCAGCCTCCCGAGTAGCTGGGACTATAGGCATGTGCCACCATGCCCGGCTAATTTTCTCTATATATTTTTAGTTGGCATTAATTCTTTCTATTTATAGTAGAGCCAGGGGTCTCACTCTTGCTCAGGCTGGTTTTGAACTCCTGACCTTGAGCAATCTGCACGCCTTGGCCTCCCAGAGTGCTAGGATTACAGGCGTGAGCCACTGCGCCCGGCCGTGGAATGGATTTTGAACTTGAGATGGGAGAGATGCT